CGACTGGTGAGGTGGTGGAGACGAGGTATGTCAAACAGCTGCTGGAAGCTTTGGGGGAAAAAGCGTGGGCCGTCTTATTCTTTCCCCTCGAACGCTCCCTTATCAAAGGTTCCTTTCTCCCCGCCTTTCATTATGTCAAGTTATTTGACCTCAAAGTGTGCTGCTCTCTTATCAAATATTCCAAGAAAACAAACAGCGCTTTGATGGGCCTAGGGTTGTCAAAAGTATCAATACTCTCTGATTTATTTATGTATTTATTTACGTTGTTTATGATCATTAAGAACACGTTAGCCTTGTACTGCTAATTGCGGCTAATGGCTAATAATAACATGCTACCATTAGTCAAGTATATATCCAACTCCACCCACATCCAAGTCGGCCATTTTGATTAGGTCACCAATAGGAAGATCCTAGGCAAGAAAATCCTAATTTCTTCATTGCAATATAGACGTTAATTTAAAAATAGTGAAATTTATCTTTCAAACACTTAATTTAACTCTATACATAATATTATGTTAAAATAGTGTATGTTAAATCGGTTTGTACAATAAGTCCAAAGAAGTTTAACCAAAAAATATTTATTTCTGACAATTATGAAGGGTGGAGGGTTAGGTTTAGGGTCAGGGTTAGGGAAAGGGTTAGGGTTAGATTAGGGTTAGAGTTAGGGATAGGGTTAGGGTTATTAATGTGGGCCACCATAACATCAGTAACAGGTCAGTTTGAAACCAAAGACACTAACCTGTAAAATTCAGTTAAATTTCGGGGTCTTTGTTTTTATCCTTTTAGTATCGAAAATGGTATCAAGTATTGAGTATTTTCCTGAGTATCGGTATCCAGTTGAAAATTTTAGTATCGTGACAACCCTAGACGGGCCGATATTTATCTGTCACGGCGCTGCAAAAATTTTTTTTGCCTAAAGCAGTGTTTTTCAACCACTGTGAGTGATGGTCAGGTGTGCCGTAGAAAATCATCCTCTTTCACCTAATTGGTCTAAAAAGATTTTTTGATAAGGAATTAATTATCTGCAAATAATATTCCATTTTTGAGTGTCTGTGCTGTTCTAGTGACTGGTGGCATAATCATGTAATAATTCCTTATGACTAGATTTTGTCTATAATTTTGTATATTGAAGTGGACAATTTGAGAGAAGAAATATAAAATATGATAAAAATACATTTTTGTGTTTATTTGATTCCTATTCAAGACACTTAAGATAAGAATAACTATAGTGTTGCTATAGGCGGCTACAGATTTGTTTGACATTTTTGGTTGTTGGTGGTGTGCCTCGTGATTTTTTCAATGAAAAAATGGCTCATAAAAGGTTGAAAAACCCTGTTCTAAAGGTTTGTGACGGCTTACCCTGGGCGGCCGGTGCTGAATCCGAGCGCGGGCGACTTTCTGCTTGTTGACGATGTTCATGAGCTTGACGGCGTCGTTTCCCTTGACGTAAACCACCGGACGCTTCAGAGGGTCGTCCGCCACCTGGTTCAGCTGCAGGCCAGGAGGAAAATAACGTCAAATACCGGTGCAACCGCATGTATAAGAGGGTTTACTGTACATAAACACAATAATTAGCCAGAAATGGTGACAAATGATGTACTACCTTCACTATCTATATTTCCTTCCTTCATTTCTTCCTTTCTTCCTTCCTTCCTTCCTTCCTTCCTTCCTTCCTTCCTTCCTTCCTTCCTTCCTTCCTCAATTTATTTTGTCCTTCCTTCCTTCATTACTAATAAAACATTGTATGTTAACATATTTTGACATTTGTTAACACAATGCATGAACACATAACTTGGCATAAGTCTCCTCCTATCCAAATATTCAGTACTATCTCATCGCTTTTCTCACTCCAGCTCATTCAACCACTTGATTAATTTGAGTCTTTTTCAGCTCTAACAGTAGACTATTGTGGATATTTAAAAAAATGTTTAATGCATCATGCTCCAGTGTTCATTTCAAATATGAAAACCCATATACACACAAGAAAATGGCTTTTAAATAGCTGTCCACTCTAGTGACCTCTATGAACTGTCTGCTCTCACTTTATGAAGCTACTTTTGCTTCTGGCATAAAAAAGCTCCTCCAACAATGAAGCCATAAAATCAGAGGTGTGTCACCTTTGAGGGAATGACCTGGTGTTATTTAAACAAGACAAGGCAAAAAAAAGAAGAAGAAAAGAAGTCTGGGAGCCGCCTCCCTAAGTTAAAAGACATAAAACTCCTCTCCGAAAAGGGAAAAGTGGCCTATAGAGACGAGTGAATGCTAACTTCTAACTTCTGAGTCAGCTGACATCCTCCTTCAATCCTCTCCCTGCTGTGTTCTTCCCTCTCT